TAGCTCCCAGAGACCGAGGGCAAAGGCCACACATCTCCCCTTTGGGCCAGTTTAAATGTCTTACTACACCAGGGTAGAAGCCAGGAAGGATTATGAAAAGCAAATGGAAAGGAGGAGCTGTATTGTTTGCTTGTTAGTCTTGAGTGCTCCTCATGCACGTCCCAGGAGTAGGCAAATAATGAAGATATTTGATGGTGGTAACTCAGGTGGCCTTTGGGGACAATTGGCTAATACAGTTGCCCCTTGGTATTCATGGAAAATTGATCCCGTCATCTCAAGGATGACAAATGTCACTGAAGGTGCAAGGTTCTAGCTTGGGGGAAGAGCTTGTGGAAATGTGGGGTGTACCACCCTCTGAAATGCCGACCTACATCCCTTGCTGGAGTGCCAGTCATCCAACTTTCTTCTGATGCGCCCTGGAAGGCAGCAGATGATGGCACAAGTGTGCCAGGCCTTGCCACCCATGTGGAGATGGACTTCTGGGCCCTTGGCTACTACTTACTTGGCTTCTACCGGGTGGGTGGGCAGCCTTTGGGGGGAGAACAGGGGAGGATATCTCCTTCCCTCTCTTGCTCTGTCATTCAAGAAGATGAAAGTAAATAATGCAACCCCCAAAAGTGAGAGAAAGTGGTGTAATATTTTTATATAACTTAGGTTCTCTCATAGATTTTGAATCATCTGCAGGTGCTTAGGGTAACAAATCCAGTGTAAATGATGTCTAATAGTTGCTATACTGTATTGTTTACACAATAGGGAAAGGGGGGCAAAAAAAAAAAGCGCCTGTACACATAAACACATTTTTTTTTCCTGAAAATCTTATTTTTAAAAACTTGTTTAGGAGCCCCCAGGGTAGGGGTATGGCAGAGCCCAGGTCGCCTGGCCCTGGACCTTGGGTTTGCCTTCAAGAACTGGTCCTCCTTAGTGGAAAATACAGAGCTGTGGATAGCAGGCCCGATGCACATGGATGATATGGCAGCCCACTGGGGCCTGCAGAGGACATCTGGATTTGTTACCCTAAGCACCTCCATGTGGGAGACCTGGAGGAAGTTCCTAGTTCCTAGCTTCAGATCGGCGCGGCACTGGCCATTGCGTCTGCCTGGGGAGTGATGATCTTCCTCTCTGTCTCTTCTCTGTATATCTGACTTTGCAGTAAAAATAAATTAAAACACACACACACACAATTTTTTCTTTCATCTTTAAATATTATTTTATTTCTATCCACTTGAAAGAGGAAAGAAAAAGTGTGAGTTTTTGATTCACAGTTGATTGACTCCATGGACACAGAAGTCTGATTGTATCTATAAGACAGTTTAAATGCAAATGCCCTTCACCTTAATACTCCCAACAGCAAGTCGCACCCAGGGGTGCAGGGATGTGTCACTGAGCGTACTCACATATGATATTGTAGTGAGGTGATTGGGAGCCACCCATGGGGAGATTAGATAGAGTTATGAAAAGTACCTCGGTGTCCACCACTGCGGAGACTAGATAAAGAATAATCATACTCAGTAGTGAAGAATTCTATCAGTTTTATTATCTCAGGGTGTGCAGGGGAAACAAGACAATGAGGCCAGTCTTCATGTCTTAGCACAGAGAACTTTCCAGGTGTGATAAGTCTGAGTCAAATTTCCAGTTTGCTCCCAAATGACTACAATGGATGGTGCTGGGCCAGGCTACAATGGGGGGAGTCTGTGTTCCATTCAGGTTCCCTCATGGGTAGCAGGGGCTCAAGCATTTAAACCATCTTCTGCTGTTTTCCTTGGAGTTCATGGGAAATGGAGCAGCTGGGATTTGAACTGACACTCATAAGGGATGGCAGCAACACTGGTCCCTATACATTTCCTCAAAACTACAGATCAAGTGGTGTAACTATCCTTCAATGGGTTATTTATTTATTTTTTATAAGATCCCCTCTGTTACCAAGAGTTTCAGATCTGAGTGACCCTGATCCTTGGCTGCCTTGAAGAACCCAATGGTCTGTCCTGTCCCAGGGCTTTTGCACACGCCATGGTCTTTTCTGCCTAAAATGCTGCTCTCCTGTCTGGTTCTTATTCATCCTTCCAATGTCTGCTCAGACCTCCCCCATTAGGCTACCTAGACCTCCTCCATCCTCAGCACATCCTCACCCTGCATCCTGCTCTTTCATGCTGGCAACATTATCCCAGAGAGTGATGATGGGTTTCCTCTAGGCCATCTCCCCCATCAGCCTCCCTGAGGCAGGGGCTCCTGCCGCAGTTCAGAGCTCAGCGGTCAGTTTCGGGCACACCCAAGGCACACACCAAACATCTGCCCAGTGCCTGAAGCAGCCACTTCCTTCCCAATGTGCCCTAGCTCCACCCAAAGGGAAGCCGTGCCTAAGACACAGCAGGAGATGTGGCAGATTAGGGGGCCTTTGTAGAATAGAGTCAAGAAGGGTCATGCAGGTGCTCCTAGTGGGGGTATACCCGCCCTCAGACCCAGGCTCCCTGCCCCCCACCCGTGCCTGAAACCCAGGGCTCTCATAGAGCTGGTGTTGACTCCCGGTGGGCAGCTGTCCCAGCTCTTCCCACTTTTGCTTAGGGGAGGAGGGCTGGGAGGGGAGAGTTGGCAATGCAGTGGGTTTGGTTGGGGGAAAAAAACAGTGCTGCGATTCAGTGTTGCTCGCTGCCATTTGAAAGGAATGAAAGTGGGCTTAAACCAAAAAAACCAAATCCAAACCAAAAGCCAAACAAAAACACCCTACTGTTTTCGAATCTGCCTCCAATACAAGCATCCTATTGTTTGCAGTGTCGTGATGAAGCGGAGGGCTCCCCAGAGCTTTGTTCAGCACTTGGGACTCGGCAGGGGTTTTAAGGGAACTGAGCTCCTCAGGTGGAAGAGAAGGGTCCCAGGTGCATGGGGGGTGGGGTGTAGCCCATTCAGTGTGTGGGTCCATCAGCAGCTGCCATCCCTCTGCTTAAAGCCTGCAGGATTTAAAATGTTCATCTCTCTGCGTCATTGTGGCAGGCTGCATAATGGCCACGTGAAGACACCCGAGGTCCTACCTCAGCTTTAGAAATGGTAGTTTTAAAAAAAAGATTTATTTTTATTGGAAAGGCAGATTTACAGAGAAGAAGAGATAGAGAGAAAGGTCTTCCATCCTCTGGTTGATTCCCCAAACGGCTGCAATGGCCGCAGCTAAGCTGATCTGAAGCCAGGAGCTTCTTCCAGGTCTCCTTCCCCTTTCCCACCCCACATGGGTACAGGGGCCTAAGGCCTTGAATCATCCTCCTCTGCTTCCCCAGCCCATAAACAGGGAACTGGATGGGAAGTAGAGCAGCCAAGACAGGGCAGGGCTCCGATATGGGATCCGGCACTTCCTAGAGGAGGATTATAGTCAATTGAGGCATTTCGCCAGACCCAGTAATGGTACATTTTACCTTGTAGAGAAAAAGGGCATGCCTGTGGGGCTGGGAGTTGATGTCTGCATCTCCTGTCACATGCCTGGGTGCCAGTGCCTGCTCTGATTGCAGTGCCAGCTTCCTACTAATGCACACACCCTGGGGAGCAGAGGTCAAGTCTCAAGCAGTTGGGTCTCTGGGAACCATGTGGCTGCCCTGGAAGGAGCTCCTGCTTCCTGGCTTCAGAGCATTTGGGCCATGAATCCAGTAGATGCGAGCACTCACTCTCTCTGAAATCAGTCGATGAAGTGAAAGTCAAGTGGTGAAGATTCTTAGTTTGGAGAGATTAGCGTGGGCTGTTGGAGTGGGCCCTGATGGTGTCTTTGAAAGCAAGGCAGGGGTGGGGATGTGGGGGAGAGATTTTTAGACATAGGGAGGTGGCAGCTGAGAGCCAGGTGAGGATGAGGTTCTGGGCCCAGGACAGCTACGGACACCAGCACAAGTTGGAGAGCAGGGAGGCTTCTCCTCTGGGGTCTCTGTGATCTGGCCTGCAGCATGGGGAGAGAATGCACAGCTGCTGTGTGGCCACCAGCTCACCTATTTGAGGGACCTTAGGCATGCCAACAGTCTGTCAGACCCCGGATCTTCCTCCTGTGTCCACTCGCACCCAACCCCCAGGGCCCTTGCACTGACAGTCCCTATTCACTAGGGTCTCTGCATAAATGTCACCTCCTCTGGACCATCTTCCTGGACCATCACTTCTGTCTCAATCCCTCCGCCCCTTCCCCGGCTTGGTTTCAATCGCAACATTTGCCAACTATTGGCAAATCTTTCTCCTCCCTGGGGAATGGGAAATTCCTTGTCCAAGAAGGTCTTGTCTAGCATGTTTCCTTCCGCATGGATCTCCGCGATCAGGGGTGTGTGGGTGTCCGTATAAGGAGCATCCAGCTGCAACCTTCGGCCTTCTGCGCCATACCTCCTGGCTCGTGGCAGGCCAAAAACTTTCTGGATAAGATTTCATTTGTTCCATAGCAGCTCTGGGAAGAGAGGCACTTCCCTTCTCTATATTACACACCTGGAGGTGAAAGGTGGACATTTGCTAGATTAGGTGTGTCGCAGCGAAAGCCCCATCAATAAGGCGCATAAGAACCACGACCTCCTCCTCCTCCAGCGCCCACCTTGGACTCCGACCCTCCCATTCCGCGACTCCTCTGGCCACGAGGCCCAGGAGATCCGCCTGATTTCTGGGGAGGCCCAGGAGATCGCCTCCAGCACACTGTGCTTAGGGAATACCAGGCAGAGCAGGGCAGGTGGCGCCGAAGGCCAAGAGCGCACCGAAAAACACTGGAGGCCGCGATGCGCGTAGTGGGAGACCAACTATGTGGTCTCTGGCTCTGGCGTCCGGCAGCCCTGGGCCTCCGTTTCGCCGTCTGCGTAGCAAGCAACCGCGATGGACCGGGCAGGTCCGCGGCCAGCAAAGAGTTATAGGGGCGGGTCCGGTGGCGGGGGCGGGACCCGAGATCTGGCCGCACCTGGCAGCCGCGAGTTTCCCCTCCCCGACTTTTCGCCAGCGCCCGGAGCCACCGCGGGAGCCGGCATCCCCGGCGGCCGGAGCCACGTCTGGAGGCGAGCCGAGCCGCCATGGCGGAGTTCCCGTCCAAAGTGAGCACACGGACCAGCAGCCCCGCTCAGGGCGCCAGCGCCTCGTCCTGGACGCTGCGCCCGGACCTGGGCTTCGTGCGCTCTAGCCTGGGCGTGCTCATGCTGCTGCAGCTGGTGAGAGCGCAGACCCCGGCCGGGGCGTGAGGGGTGTGTGTGTAGGGGGGTGGCGGGTGTTCTGTGACGGCGTACCCTCGGTACCTTCGGGCATCCCGGGCTCTGGCTCACAGCGCCCCAGCGCGCCCGCGTTCCCCAGGGGGTGCCTCCAATATAGGCGCTGCTGCGATCACCCTGGGGTCCTAACCTTGACAAGTCACCCTCGGGGCCATCCCTGAGGACTCGCTAGATGCATCCGGCGCCTCGCCGGTGCGCTTCATCCACACACGCGCCGCGATTACCGCGACCGCGACCGCTCCCCGACTTACCTGCTTGAGCTGCGGTCGCCGGTTCATCACCTCTGGGCTCTGTCAAGGCAGTGCCGGTAGCCCTCCTGAGGCCCCGGCCTGAGGCAAAGTCCACCCGCGGCTCCGCGTGGCTGCTCCCGAGACCGCGCTTGGTCTGGCCAAGGGACACATTCATCCCCCACACTCCCTCGGGCACGGTCGCCGAACCGGGCGCTTCTTGCTGCTTCTGGGCGGCAGCCGGGTTCCAACCAGTTTGGCGGGCCCAGAGGGACCCAGGTGTGGCGCCCGGGCTGCCGGGGAGGAGGGGGAAGGGGAAGCAGTGTGGGGAGCCCGCGGCCGGATTCTGCCCCAACCCGACCAGGGGCACGGACGGCACCTGAACTTGGTCGGGGGGCGGGGGGGTTGTCCCTGTTCAGTTAAAGGCCTGGGATGTCCTCTTTTCCCGAATCTGCTGCTGTGGGGGACAGGAGTGTTCCCCACCAGCTGAGGCGCGAAGCTAGGGAGTGGGAGAGGATCTACGCTCTTGTGCTCGAGAGGGGGCCTTCCCCGCGTCCCCACGCTGGGCTGCAGAGCTCAGGGTGATCCTGGGCCGAAATCCCGCCGCCCCGCCCCCTCAGGTGTGCACCTGCCTCCACCAGCTCTGCCTGAAAGTTTCTCGGGTCACCCCTTGTGGGCCCCTTCCCCCTGCACACCTCCAATCTTCTGTCCGGGATTTGTTTGAAATGCGCATTCTTGGCCCTCACCCATGCCTGACAGAAGTGGAATTAGAATCTCCGGCCGGGAATTCTAGATATTTACTTTTTAAACTCTTTCCAAACTCTTTTTCGGGAGCCTGGTTGTGAGGTGGAGAGTCCTGGGGTTAGGGGGAGGAGGTGGACTGGGAGTGGCCTAGTGACCCGAGAACTTAAACAGTGCGCTAGCAGTGTGGACAGCAGCTGATCTCTCCTGATTCTCCTGGCTCATGGCTAAGTGTGAAGGGAAGCTTCTGGGATGCCCAGGGGTAGTGTGATGTCCTTGGATCTAGAGGGAGATCAATTTTGGGTCTTTGAGGGCTTCCTGGAGGAGGTGGTGTTTGAGGCTGGAGTTCCGCGGAAGTCAAGTCGGTGACGGGCAAAAAGAGGGCGAGATGCTGGGGAGAGGAGCCGCAGGTTGGAGGAGCTGCTGTTGGAGGTGTGTGTTCCCTGCAAGACCTGGGAACTTGACTGCTGGCAGTCTTAGGAGCTTCTGGCTTTGTGGATGATGATGGCAGGTGGAGAGAGGCAGAGGAGAGAGTAAGAGCACCTGGGAACAGGAGCAGAGCCCCTAGCACTGGACCTGCAAACCCGCTGGGAGGCTCTGCTGCATAGGAAGGGGCCTCGTGGACTTCCCCTGGAGATGGCTTGGAATACTGTGTCCGGATGTTAGCACCCACTAGGGGCTCATGGTGCAACTTGCTGGGGGGGGACTCTGAACTCTAAGGACCGGCTGGGAGCCAGGATGGCTTCCCTATGCACCCGGAGCTGCCAGGGTGCTGGGCTCCCAATGCCCTTGCCCGTCTGCTGCAAGCAAAGCTGCTTCCCCAGCTCTGGCAGGTGGTAGTTCTCCTGGGGCTGAAGTGGAGCTGACCCTGCAGGCATGGAGCTTCCACCAGGACCTCACAGCAGGCTTCCGGCTTCTGCCTCCTGCTGAGAGCAACCTAGTCTTTCATCCTCCCCCAAATTCTGAATCAGGAAATGGCCACACAGGGATCAGTTCTTAGCACAGCCACACAGGCCGCCCCACAGGAGTGATTTTTCTGTTGTTGTTTTTAACTTGTCTGGCCATGTTCCTTCAAAGGCACAGCGAGTGCATGGTATGTTTCATTTGCTGGTTCACTCCCCAAATGGCCAGGCTGGATGGGCCAGGCTGAAGGCTGAAGCTAGATGCCTCTCTGAGTCTTCCCCATGGGTGACAAAGGCCCAAACATCTGAGCCATCCTTCACTGCCTTTCCCAGACCATTCCCAGACCATGAGCAGGGAGCTGAGCAGGTTGCTCAGAAAGAACCAGTGCATGTTCTCCAGGAGCTCTGATCATTCTCCAGGGGTGGCTTCCTGGAGGAGGTGGTCAAGTTGAAGATGATACAGATTCCTGAGATGTTCTCCCTGTGGTAGGAGGAAGGGTGTTAGTGGTAAGACCCCCCCCCCCCAGCTCCATGCAGTGGCTAAGGTGTGCGGAACAACCTGTGTCAGTCCCCACAGGTGCCAGGAGGTGGCCACTGACTTCGCACTTGCCCCAGGCCCTAATTTCAGATAGACATTAGTAGCAGTGGTTGTCAGCCCCATTAGTCCTATATTTTAAGTTGATGATTTGGAGGTGGGAAGTGATTTTATTTTTAAGAATTATTTATTTATTTAGGTCCGGCACTGTAGCCTAGTGGCTAAAACCTTTGCTTTGCATGTGCGTGGATCTCCTATGTGCTCTGGTTCATATCTCTACCACTTCCAGCTCCCTGCTTGTGGTCTGGGAAAGTAGACAGCTCAAAGCCTTGGAACTCTGTACCTGCGTGGGGATTCCGAAGGAAACTCCTGGCTTCAGAGCAACTCGGTTCTCATTTTTAGCCATTGCAGCCACTTGGGGAGTGGACCAGTGGATGGAAGATCCTTCTCTCTCTGAAAATCTCTCTTTCTAATATAAATAAATAAATAAATAAATAAATTTTAAAGATTTGTTTATTTTTTATTGGAAAGTTAGATATACAGAGAGAAGGAAAGAAAGAGAGAAGTATCTTCTGTCTGCTGGTTTTCTTTCCAAGCAGCCACAATGACCAGAGCTGAGCTGATCTGAAGCCAGAAGCCAGGAGCTTCTTCTGGGTTTCCCACACAGGTGCAGGGGCTGAGGGTTTTGACCATCCTCTACTGCTTTCTCAGGCTACAAGCAGGGAGTTGGATGGGAAGTGGAGCAGCCGGGAGATGGACTGGTTCCCATATGGGATACCAGTGCTAGCGAGGTGAGGATTTGGCCACTGAGCCGTCAAGTTGGACCCAGGAAGTGATTTTTTTTTAGGTTCTTTAAAATAAATTGAAACATAATTGTATCTGTTTGTGGGGTATCATGAGACATCTTAATACATGTGGACATGGAGCTCTACTAAAACCAAGGAGCGCCTCTATCTATATTTCTTTGTGTGTTTCAGGCTTTTTTGAGATACACTACCATTGTTTATAGCTAAACTACTAGGCAATTAATTTGAAGGATGAGTCAGAGGTCACAGTATCAGGAATCTGTAGCAAGTTTAATACCTGATGCTTTCTTGTGCTTCCTGGTAGCCTAGACAAGACGAGATAAACAAGATTCATTTATGCATTTATGCAGGGAGCCTTTGAAAAAAAGAAGCAAGCGGGTTTGCGCTGGAGACAGCTCTGGCAAGAAAAGCCCGCATAGCCTGAGTGATGGAGGGGCATATGTTTTTGTGGTTAGTAATTCGGGGAGTGTTGTAGTGGTGTGGTCTGAGTACCTGAGTTCAAGTTTGGCTCACCTCTGATTCTGGTTTCTGCGAATAGCATGCCCTGCGAGGAGGCAGCAGATGAGGGCTCAAGTGCTTGGGATCCTGTTACCCACGTGGGAGACCCAGGTTGAATTCTGGGCTTCTGGCTTCTGTTTGGGCCAATCCTGGCTATTGTGGGCATTTGGGAGTTAACCAGCAAATGAGAAACATCTCCATCTATTGCTCTGCTTCTTTGTCTAACAAATTAAAGATAAGAAGAGTGCACTGAAAAAAACTGTGCCTGCTTGGCTGGCACTGAGTCCTTCGATGCCCTTAGCTTCCTGTGTACCATTTAAAGACCTCATTTAAAGAGATAATGGGCCAATGTGATTGTGGATTCCGGTGTTTTCCCTCTTTACCCAGGGGGTCGAGTCTGGCCACATCCTTCAGCCTTTTACCTTTTCCACATCCAATGGTACCCCCAGGCACTTTCGTCCCCACATCCATGGGGCTGCTGCTTTGGCAGAGCTGTCACCATATTCCCTTGTGCCACCGGGTGTAATTTGTATGGCCAGCCCCTTTGTTGGCAGGCAGTTGGATTTTCCATTCTTTTGCGGCTGTGTACCCTGCTGCAAGCAATGAGCTCACGCGTGCCATTGAGTGCACTTGTACGACACATTTCCAGATGTGGGACCACCACAGCAGAGCAGCTGTGTGAATGGGTGGGGGAAGTTCCATAGAGATTGTTCTATACCCCCCACGGAGGCCACAGCCATCCCTCCCATTCAAGGCTGCCTCTCCTTCGCAGCATCTCCCCAGCGTGAAGGCATGTCCCTATGCCATGATGACAGTCAGGATGGGCCAGGATGACAGTCAGTAGGGTAGCCATCTGAGTTCTCTTATAAGTGAGGTTGGCCTGCTGTCCCTTGTTTCAGAACTATATGAGTTCCCCTGTGTGTCTATTTCTCAGCTCATTCCACTGAATTGTGGGTCTTTGGGTTATCAGTGACCAGACATTGTACAAGATGTGCAAATATTTTTTTCCTAATTTGCTTCTTTGATTTTGCTATTGGTGTTTTTTTCTTTATCCTCTTTTGTGTTGCAAGGTTTCCTTTCTTTTTTTTCTTTCTTCTTTCTGGAAATGGGGTCATAATTCTCAGCATCGTACTTGTAGGTTGTAAAGAAATTCTCCAGTGTAGAAAGATGCAGAACCAAGGGACAGTGGTATCAGTCTAGATCTACAATGTGTTAATATTGTTAATATTGTTAT